TCTTATTCTTGTATAAGTACTGCATATCTTCTCAAAGACATCTTTCTGCTGGGAAAAACAAGGCAACTGAAAACCTATAAAAGTTAATGACTTCCATTTTTGCAGTGTTGTAGGTCAGGAGGTTCCCAAGACTACCCTCAGGTTCAATAATTCTCTAGGACTCACAAAACTCAGAAGACTGTTTGCTCACAGTTTTTTTGTTTTATTTTGTGTTTTTATTTCTTATTAGCATATTCATTATTACAAATCTTAATTTTTCTTTATGTCATTTACCCTACCTAACACTCCCCAAACTCACTCCTTCCCTCCCCCATCTCTAGTATCCTTAGGTTTGTTCTCTCCTTCTGAAAGTTCAATGTATTGTTGTGGTTTCTTCTTTCTTTCTTTTCCTTCCTTCCTTCCTTCCTTCCTTCCTTCCTTCCTTCCTTCCTTCCTTCCTCCCTTCCTCCCTTCCTCCCTCCCTCTTTCCTTCCCTTCCTCTCTCCCCCTTTCTTTCTCTCTTTCTTTTCTACCTTTCTTTTCTGTCTTTCTGTCTTTCCTTCCTTCTTTCTTAGCATCCAGTTAGGAGTGAGAACATGAGGTATTTCTATTTCCTTGTCTGGCTTATTTCATTTATAATTTTCTCCAAGCTCATCCATGTTGCTGCAAATGGCAGAATTTCATTCTTTTCACAGCAGTGTAGTATTCCATTGTGTATATATACCACATTTTCCTTATCCAGTAATCCATCAATGGACACTTAGGTTGGTTCCATATTTGGGCTATTGTAAATAGAGCTGTGATGAACATGGGAATGGAGGTATCCCTTTGACATGATGATTTCCATTCCTTTGGGTATATACCCAGCAGTGGGATTGCTGGATCATATGGCAGATGTATCTGTAGTTGTTTGAGGATCCTCCATATTGTTTTCCAAAATGGCTGTGCTAATTTACAGTCCCACCCACAGTGTAGAAGAGTTCCCCTTTCCCTGCATCCTCGCCAGCATTTGTTCTCAGTCTTTTTAATAATGGCCAATCTACTGGGGTGAGATGATATCTCTATGTGGTTTTAATATGCATTTCCCTGATGATTACTGATGCTGAGCATTTTTTCTTGTACCTGTTGGTCATTTGTATGTTTTCTTTTGAAAAATGTCTATTCATATTTTTTGCCCATTTTTTAATTGAATTATTATTATTATTATTTTTTTACTGTATAGTTGTTTGAGTTCTTTATGTATTCTGGATATTAATCCCTTGTTGGAAGTATAGTTTGCAAATATTTTCTCCCATTCTATAGGTTCTTTCCACTCTGTTGATTGTTTCCTTTGCCATGCAGAAGGTTTTTAGTTTGATATAATCTCATTTGTTTATTTTTTCTCTTGGTTCTTGTATTTTGGGGGTCCTATCCATAATGTCTTTGCCCAGTCCTACTTCCTGGAGTGTTTCCCCTATGTTTTCCTTTAGTATTTTTATGGCTTCAGGTCTTACTGCATATGGATGTCCTATTTTCCCAGCACCACTCAATGAAGAGGAAGTCTTTTCCCCAATGTATGTTCTTGTTGCCCTTGTCAAAGATCATTTGGCTGTAAGTATGTGGGTTGATTCCCAGATTTTCTATTCTGTTCCACTGATCTGAGTATCTGTTTTTATGCCAGTACCATGCTGTTTGGGTTACAGTAGCTTTGTAATATAATTTGAAGTCAGGTAGTGTTATGCCTTCAGCTTTATTTTTTTGTGCTCAGGATTGCTTTGGCTATTTGGGGTCTTTTGTTGTTCCATACAAATGTTAGGATTCTCTTTCTATTTCTGAAAGTAATGTCATTGGCATTTTAATGGGATTGCATTGAATCTGTAGATTGCTTTGTTATGGTTTATTGCAGTGAAAGGACACAGATTAAAATCAGCAGCAGAGAAAAGCACATAGGTCAGGGTCCAGGAGAGATCACGCACAGTCACCAGTGGTCCTCTCCCAGTGGACTTTTGTAAACAATGCTTATTTTGCTCAGCAATGATGAGTGACACTATGCATAGAGTATTGCCAGCCAGAAAGCTCATTCAAGCCTCAGTGTCCAGTTATTGTTGGGGGTCAGTAAAGTAGACATGGCTGACCACCTGCATAGCTGACCTTAGTTTCTAGCACCTCTGGAGGTCAAGCTGATACCACATGACTCAAGGACCCCACCATAAATCACATTTTAGGACAGACCATGTGGCATGGCCCAAGGACCCCAGGTAAACACTCATCTAGCAGGCCATTCCAAGGGCTTAGAGGTTACCTCCCAGAGCTAAGGGCAAGGGCCAAATTTTTCCTTAGTCGAGGTTAATCCTTTATTATACAAGTGTGTCCTCAGGGTTTTTTTTATCCTGTTGTTTCTACCCTATACCTGAGGTTTCCAACCTGTGATTTCTAACCTGAGGCTCCAAACTTTCTTGTTTTCTGGTGCCCTTCTATCTTATTTTTCATGGTGCCCATTAGGCCAAAAGAACTCCCAAATAGTAATTAGATCCAAACAACTTAACAGCAGTAGTTTGCATGCTGTCTGACAGGTGATGCTGTGAGTAAGTTCTCAGAACACGAGTGACAAATTCCCTCAAAAATTTTCAAAGTCTATGGTGCCCCTTTGAGTTTGCTGCTGTACTTCAGTTCACCTTGGCACACAATTTGGAAACTGTAGTTTTATACAGTGCTCACTACAGAATATCATTCTTTCATTGTTTCTCTCCTTTAAAAATGCTTTGTTGAGATCTAAATATATGCAGAATACTAGTAACTGGGCTTCCATGTATATGCAAGATCTGCTCTGGACAGTTTGAAATGTTTCATAGATGTTATAAAGTTAATACTAAAGGAAAATTTGGGGAAAAGATTACTTTCTCCGTTGAACAACTTAGTAAACTGAATTTTCCAGAGCTTGACACAGGATTTAATAGACATTCAAGAAATGTTTGTTGAATTGAATTGTAACACAAAAAAGGCGGACTAGTTTACCTTAATCTGTCATGAATGTGCATGCAAATAACAGCTTCTACCACCAAGCCCATTTCTCTGTTCATTGGGATAAAGCTGTGTCACTCTTTTAAAAAAATCTTTTTCATTCTTGTCCATTATAAAAGCAGAAATAAAAAATTGGAATCATGGACTTAGAAGTATTAACTATAACTGAGTTTAATTTATTAGAGTCCTACTGTCACTGGAAGAGGTAAAGAGGAAGTTCAAAAAAGTTGAGGAAGGGAAGCTGTCAGAACCATAACCTCACACACAGAGAACCATAACACGTAGTGCTAAGTTGCAAATGCCCAAAGGGGTATTGACAGTTAATATTTAATTTTGCTCTTTTTATTTAAAAGGATGTGCCCATTAATTTAAAAGTGTGGTGCTATCTATAGCCTTTTTCATTCTAAAAAAAAAATCTCCTTAGAATGATTAAGGAAGTGGACTCTTTCATACCCACATTATTGATAGGATTACAAATTGGCGCTAAATTTCTGTGATAATGTGTGCCAGGAACCTTGAAAGTATGTCCATCCTTTCCTGGAGCAATTTAATTTTTAGGACTTTATTCTATGGTATATTAGAATTGTACAAAAAGGTTATATGTTAGCAGAATACATACTAACATATATTAAGTGTTATATATTTCATTAAAATGATAAACGATTTTTTTTTATATACAATGGAATTGGTTAAATAAATCATGACATAGTTGTATAGTAAGATACTGTATGGTCATGGCAAGGACAAGCCTGCAGTTTAAGCAGCAGAGGATGGGCAGCTTTCAGGAGTCTCAGTGACTTCTAGTTGGTTTGGTGTCAAGGAAAACCACTGCCAGTGAGCTGGAACCTAAGGGATAAGGAATAAAATGGCAGGTACTGCAAAAACAAGTTCTCAGAACAGGAGTGACAAATGTGTGTGGGAGGGGCTCCCAAACCTATGGGAGCACTTCAGGGGTTTGATTACTATGGATGTCTTGGGATACACTTTTTGCATCCATTACTCTTCTTTTCCTCAGCCTGTTGTCCCCTGGAAAACACAGATTTTTATATCTCTTTGGAAAGAGCAGGGGAGTAGTCAAAGGCACACACAAAAGGCACACACAAGTGGGCTTCTTGTCCCTGCCTTTAAATCAATAAGCACATCACTTGGAGGAAACGGCAGTCACCAGGAAGTCATTTAGCCGAGATGAAAAAAAATCCCTGAATAGTGTTTAATCTTCAAAATAAAAATTCTCCATTCTTGGGTCAGGCCAATAAATGCTGTGGCATTTAGACTGATCAAATTTATTCCTCAGGGTACAACTGAGCATCAGACACATACGATGGAAGTGTTCTTTGGTGTTACACTGCTTTCTTAGTCTGCACAGCTCATTGCCTTTGTAACATTTGCATCTGATTTGGAAAATATTTTAGAACAACCCAATAACAACTTGAAGATAAAAAAATTCTACACACTTCACAGCTCCTTCCTATTACATGAATGTGTAAATTGAATTCCCTCTCAAGATGAAAAAACAAGGGTTGGCTTCCCAAAAATATTTTCATTGGCTTTAGGGAACTAAAACACACCAGTGTCTGGGTGACTAATACTTCCTGTAAAATAAAGATAGATCAACACATAATTAAGTTCTGGCTCAAATATAATTGTTGTCTTGGAAACAGTTTTGGGGATGAATATGGTTATGCTAATGAAACGCTCCATGATTTCCACCAATGATCCAGTTTATTAATTAGGCCAGGCCATCTTGCTACCCTGTGCTACCCATTTTGAAATATTTAACAGGATCTTTAAAAACTTCCTGAGAGAACAGCGAAGGGGAGAAAAAAAAGGGAGACCTTTCAACTTAGTTATTTATTAGCTCTTGTAAGGATTCCGATCGGAGGAGTAGATTGAAAGTGCTTTTTGGATTTGTGGGTTTCAAAGATCCTTCCTACCCCACTAGGCAGAAAACAGAGAGTTGTAGATCCAGTATTTGGAACCGAAAATCCCTAGCATTCTCTCTCTGAATTCAACGTTCTAAGGCAGCCAGCGTTTTCCAGTTTCAGCTCCGGGAATTCAGTAGTTTTGTAGGAAGTTCTGCTTACTGCGTAGCCCAAAGGGGAACCTTCCTGCTCCGAAGGGTTTTGCGGAGGCCGCGCGTGAACTCTGGCGCGAGAGCGCATCCCAGCTTAGATCACACCCACCGGGGGTGCGCGTGTGAGTGTGTGCGCGGGGGCCTGCGCGCGTGTACGTGTGGGGAGGTGTGTGCCAGAGGGGCGGGGTGAGGGGAGCGACGCGGGCTCGAGGTGAAGCACGAGGAGAGGGAGGTCGCCCGCCCCGGCCTCTCCCCCGGGCCCAGGCGGCTAGCTCGCGCTCGGGCAGCACCTCGCGGTGCGCGCCGCGGCGGCGCCACAGGCCCCTCGACCCTTTGACCACCGCCCTGCGGCCGCCAGGTCCGCAGCCG